AAAAAAAAATCCAAAAATAAATACCCCTCCAAAAAGAACCATTCATCGTGCAGTTGGTGGTTTAGATTCATACATACACATGTCTTGAATCTGAAACACATCATGGCATGGAATTGATGATCTGATTACCCATGGGCAAGATCACCTTCACAGCTCTGGCGACATGGCAGCAGCATGACTGCACATAAGTCATGGGCAAAACAAGGCCAAACACCTCTTCCACCAGCGTCTCACCAGGGTCTTGTCATTCACTTAAACTGACGCGAAATTCGCATGGATGATGCCACTCGAAGTCACGACTCGTACTTACGCAAATGTCAACATAATCTTTAAGCAAACGCAAAATCACAATTTGTTTAACAAATTATTGCATATGTTTGCCGCTAGCTCCATGTGAGTGCCGGCCACTGGCTGAGGCAGGAGCTTAAACAAAACAGAAAGGGAGCTCTCAGCGGCGCGTTTTTGAATAGTGTGCTCCGACATCTTGTGTGACATTGCGTCAGATTTCTCTCTTATGAACTCACCGCTGTCTCACTCATTGTTTTATCAGCCTCCCTGCTTTGTCTCACCCCCTATTCCCCTCTCGGTCTGTGCAGAATTGTGTTCTTATTTTTTGTTGGAAATGTCCCTGGAAATGCAATTTCTATGAGTCATAAATTGTGATTTTCAAAATGGCCAGAGAGGAGAGTGATGGATTAGGAAAGAGTAAAATTGCACGCTGATGATTACTAGGTGTTTGTTTTACTTACTTGTGCTTAGTACGCTTAAAATATTTTCCCCAAACAGTTTACTGTTGGGGTTCTATGTTAGATAGAAAAGAGCTGGCCACACTCACTGGCCGCGCCCCTGAACTCCCCTGAACTCTGTCAACTCTGTGGCTGGGCTCTGTGGCTGGGCTTTGTGGCTGGGCCTTGTCCTCCTTTTGGCCGCGCCCCTGAACTCGGTGCTCATGCCTGTGGAGTGGCTTTGCGCGTTCAGGCTTAGTTCGGACTGGCCTGAGGGTTCGCAAGGAGTGCGGGTTATCTTGAACTTGCTCGAGTGCAATGCAGTTCTGGCCTTGGAAAACAGTCAGCGTCTGGTCACAATCATTTCACACAATTGCAATGGCAGAAGAGCCTGTGGCCTGTGGTGGGCGTTCGCCGATGCAGGGCATTGCTTGCAAGCGCCAGCAGGCGCCTGACGAAACCTCCCTCAACAGAGGGAGGAGTCGCGCACGTTTCCAGCAAGCTCCTTCGCAGCTAGGCCCACGGGAGTGCGGGAAGTGCGCGAGTTGCTATCCAGAAAGGATAGAGTTGCCATTCATCAGTCAATCGCCTCCTTCACGCATGGCCGTTGTGAAACATTGTGAAACGTGAAAAGGCTGGCATGGTGTCATATGCCCGCTTTGCACAAGATTGGCAGGGTGCGGACCCTCACCAGGCCAACCGGGCCAGCTCACTACAAGTGTTGGCATGTTGGCAGGAATCATTTCTGACTCAGAACGGCTATCTTCTCTTCCATTGAGGCTGGAGAGGGCAGTCGAATTGCTTTACTTTCAGCACTGTCCACTGCGGAGAAATTAGGGTTCAGTTTCGTGCACTGTACCAGGCTCGATGATGTCCGTCTTCCATACACAGTGCACACAATCCATCCGAAGGCCTTTATGGACTGCGCCGCATTGCAAGAACTTGGCATCCCACCCTCACTGCCTTGTCCCCCAGTTCCCTGTCCCAAGTCCTGTCCCCAGTTTGATGCCCCCAGTTCCCTGCCCCCAATTCCTGTCCTCCCTCGCTCCCTCCCTCTCTCTCTCTCTCTCTCTCTCTCTCTTTTCTTTCTCTGTCTTTCTCGCTGTGGCTCACATTAGTCGCCATATAGGCGTCTGTCTCCCGCATGGCTCTGCCTGTCCTAACTGGCCCTGACCGATGCGAGCTCATCTAGCCGGAAGAGACAGCCATTGATTGAACTCTCACTGCGGGTGAGCCTCCCTCTGGTTGAGCTGCTCCAGGCTCACAGTTTTTTTGCATGAGTGGAGACGCCATGTGTGCGGAATGCACAGGTCATCTTTCTAGAGGTGGAAACTCTGCATGTTTAAAGAGGGAGGACCAGACCGGAAAAAACAACAAACCAAAACCAAGCACAAACAAAACACCAACAAAAGCTCCCAAGCAGAAACCTGCAGAGTTTCTCTCTGTACATCAGGGTGACACATGGTGAAACAAGGGAACTGCTGTGACTATCTACCCTGGCCTTGAACTCGTGAAAAAGCTGTCAACTCTGTGGCTGGGCTCGGGCCTTGTCCGCTCTTGTCCCGCTTGTCCTCCTCTTGGCCGCGCCCCCAAACTCTGGGGCTGGATCTGTGGCCTTCCTCCCAGCTCCTCTTGGCCGTGCCCCTGAACTCTGTCAACTCTGTGGCTGGGCTCTGTGGCTGGGCCTTGTGCTCCTCTTGTCCTCCTCTTAGCCGCGCCCCTGAACTCTGCCAACTCCAGGGCTGGGCTCTGTGTCCAGGCCTTGTCCTCCTCTTGTCACACTTGCTCCTCTTTGCCTCGCCGGGCTCTGTCCAGGTTCTGTCAACTCTCTGGCTGCACTGTGTCCAGGCCTTGTCCTCCTCTTGGCCGCGCCTCCTGGGCTCTGTGGCTGAGCTCTGCGTTCCTCGTCTTGCACCCCTGAGCTCTGCTGTGTCCAGGCCTTGTCCTCCATCAAATCTGTCTCTTGTCCTCCTCTTGGCCGCGCCCCTGAACTCTGTCAACTCTGTCGCTGGGCTCTGTGTCCAGGCCTTGTCCTTCTCTTGTCCTCCTCTTGGGAATACTGCGTAGTTTTTAAGGATTGCAGCGAAGTTCTGCCCTCGCAGGAACTCCTGGAAGGGTATCCTATCCACAAAGTTCCGCTTGCTGTCCATGTCCCCACGAATCCAGAGGGCGCAGTCCCCGAAGGGGCGTTCGCAGGAGTGCCACGCCTACGTCGTCATGTCAGCATAGAGTCAGGCATTAGACTTATCGGCCCAGAAGCGTGGCACTCATGCCGACAGCTCCGAATTGTCAAACTGCCGTCAACAGTCGTCAGCATTTCTGACAACGCATTTCGAAGCTGTACACTGCTCAACAGTGTCACTGCCCCTGGTTGCCGAGAGTTTGGCTACAAAGCTTTTGATGAGTGCTGTTCACTGCAATGGGTTTATACCGCTGAAGGAATTGCCACCAGTTAAACAGCTCCACCAAGTCTGGGCACTACCTCTTTCGAGGCTGCATCAACCTTGCCGAATTTACCCTGCGAGACAGTCCCTTCCCAAGCCAGCTGCCGTCACAATCCACTGCCAGCGACTTGGCTCTAGGGTGCCTCAGCTCTACAGGGACAGCCACATTAACTAACGCAGGGTTTCCGCACTATTTATCCGGCAAATTTAAGGGCTCAAGCTGGTGACTTGCAAGAGTGAGCATGCCAGCTGGTGCGCCTAGGCCCAGCCCTCGCTGCAGTGAAGAAGGGATGGTGGCACAGACCTGCACCTTCCTTACACTGGCAGGAGAGAACCTGCCCATCGAGGAAGATCCTAATGCACATACCGGCTTTCGGGGTTTTGAAAATGCCGTATTAGCAGAACTCCCCTATTTGGGATGCAGTAGCACCCTTGGGTGTGAGTTGCAATTTGTGCAAATAGACACCGACCAAGTTCTAGC